CGCTTGCCATCCTCATTAGAGATTGTAAAAGCACGGCTAATCATGAGCCTCGTCGACGCTGTGGACGCTGTGACCCGCCAGTGTGTGATTCTCGTAGAACGTGTCATGCATTTGTCAAGGCAGATGTAGAAGCAATTGACAATATCGAAGTAGCATATTTGTAGTTAACTTTCTAGAGCACTTGCGGCATCAATGACATGTAACCGTGAATTTAAGTGATTGCATTTTTTATGTGTTAGTTTAATGGACGATTGTCCCTCTCTCTCATAGCTGCTTATCACTACTAAGGTGTCTGGAAGACAACAGCTCGTTTCATCTATTTTTATGCAATTCTTCTACTTATTGCTTGCTCATTCTGTTGGTCCAAGACTCTATGTTTGACGACGGTGTACAACCCTAAGAACCTGTGCATTAATCCTTCGAACAAGTCCAAGATTAGCGTCTAGTGTGCCGTTTGAACCTGATGACTGGGATGCTTACGCTCTTGAAGCAATGTGATTCAGGGGAAAGAGGAAGATGCAAGTAGTTCAATTACCACCGTGGCAGTCCTAGTGAGTCAACATGACGTAATTACTTTTCTTTTACCTCGTATTCGACTTTTTCTGCTCACCCGGGCGGATCTTGAGGTCCAGAAACAGCTTAAATTTTGCCCAGACGCACCACTAGACAACAAATATATAATCATATGCTACCGAACATTATCAACCGGTACTGGATCTCAACGCGGTCATTATGGACTTAAAAATATTCTTTTGGTGAGACCTGGCCCAAGCTTAGCGAAAAGGATGGCGATTTAATTTGCCGTTAAACAATTTTTCAGAGATTGTTAATTCATTTCTTTTTGACCTTCCAGATCATTGTAAGTGTAAGGGGACTGGGCGCTTAACGCCTCCTAAAACTAAGTACATTTTGATAAGAACTATCAACGGGCATTGCCTCAACGCAATGAACAGTGATGTCACATCTGACAAAACGCGTAAACGGGTTCCCCTGCACTGCACAACTATATTTTAAGCTACATACGAAGACGAAAAAAACCAAAGGAACAAAAGATAACCATCCAACAAAATACTAATGCAGTCAAGGCTTGATCGAAAGAAGAATAAGGAATGATACGATAAAAACGAGGAATGAATGCAAAAACTGTTATCGTCAATTTCATATCTGTTTTTAGGAGCAGTAGCGACCAAGCAATTCACAATTTAATCTTGTTTGGTTTTTTTGCCTGTATAGGAAATACCGTTGGCGACGAAACAACAAGGTGGGGGAAATCGTGGGGTTTCTCATATGTATTTGTTATTTTTTTTAATTTACAACCTCCAAAAAAGTACATTAAAGTATTATGCTTAATCATTAATATTATTTGGCGCAAGTCATATTTCCAGTACATTATTATCAATCGTTTAATGATAGTTTTTGCCACCAGCATAATATTAACATTTACGTATTCAAAAAAACCAATTATCATGTGACGGGATCACCCCGTCACATGATACCCGTCACAAAGTATAAGATTGGTCGTATTACGAGTTTTGTTCATTCAATAAATTGCTAATTTCACTTTGATCCAATGGTGCGCACAGAAGATCGATAAAAACCCTTGCGTGGGGACCACGCATATAACGGCCTTTCGCACAAACAACCCGCTACATACATAAGATAGGGGAGCAAGCTTAGGAGCTCGCCTTCGATATAAGTAATCCAGTTAGGATAACTAAATCAAGTTACTTAACATATACATTAGCATCAGTCAAGAAGGAGTATGATGCTGTTGCTGTCTGTATTTACCCATTACGGTATACTCAAGCAACGCAATCAGCCTTTGCTTATAAGCGGTTAACATTTGCTTGTGTGATTATATTCACCTTTGATCTAATATAAGCCAATCGCAAGCACGTTTCATAATAGTGACCTAACCGAAGAGTGACTTCAGATATGCCTATATACCTATGAGGCAGACAGGCTAGATCGCACTTTGTAAGTGTAAGGTACACCTAGCCGTGTTATTTACTGACCGGGCATACACATGCCGACGGAAGCACACATACACGCAGGTAAGTATAATTTCAAGGTTCAGCATTCAACCTTGTGCACAGTTATTAATAGCTTTATCCTCCGGGCTCGCAGAAAAGTTCGGCATCCACCTAGCGCACAGTCACTGGTGGCTTCACCGTTGGACATCATAATAAATAGTTCAGCACTCACCTTCCTACAGTTACTAATGACTTCGCCTCCGGTCTCGCGATTGACTACGGATGCATTTAAATGCCTGCGAAATTACATAATCACCTCAAGGGAAACGAAAACATGTTGGTAGATGATGGAGCTTTGTGCACCCAGGATCCAAAGTAATAAGGTTTTACTTTGTTGTACAATGGGCTACGAATGAAAGCAAGCGCAAGCCGATATTATTTACAAATTAGCTGGAGCGTGTAGACTTACACCAAACAGAACAGAGATTGTGTTAAAAATGGATAGATGCCTGTATTTGACCTACAATGAAGTGGTGATTGTCCTCTGTCCTAGTGAATAAAAAAGGCATTTCCATGTATAATGAAACGGTAAGCCGTGAACACTCTTCAAGGAACTACAGATAATGTACGCTGCAGCTGTCAACCTCTTCTGTAACGTGGCACCCTGAAGCTTGTACTGATGACAGTACAAGCTAATTATTGCGTTGACAGAATAAGGCGGTGCCTCGGAGCTTCACGTACACTCGTACGTGCAGAGGAAGACGGTGAGAAGAAGCGAGTACTTGGTTAAAGTAAAAAGTAGAACTGTATTTATAATAGTTAATGTCTGCAATAAATCACTATTTATCTTCATCTAACTATGTCTAAATACAAATGTGTAAATCAACTATCTACTCACTACTCATTGCGTGCGTCTGTCGTGGCGCGTCTTCGTTGGTTGGTATAATGGCCTATATCAACCAATTAGGAACTACTTGGAAGTGCTACAGAATATTTATCCTTATGACAATATTCTGAGAAATAACTCTTATAGTTATATTCTATTAACAATTTCTTATAAACTGTTATGTAACGATTCACCCCGTTGCATCTTCGCTTTTAGATCGTTCTCTACTCACCCAGGAGCCTTTGCAAAATGGACGATTTTTCGGCTGGCACGCACTACTTCCTATGCAGCTGAGTGACGGCTGGCTGAATACAGTGCGTTTGATACATTCATACAACCTCGTTATTGTTCCTAAATAAGTTAAGGGGCTCACTGGAATTGTTATCAATGCACCTCTTCAGCAATAGTAATGCTAAAAAACACAAATTGTTACTCCATTCCGATAAAATGACAAATGTGCATGCAATCGATTTCTGAGTTTGATAGATTAAAAATGCATCGAACGTTTTTTTTATTTTGTTGAATGTATATTATTTGTGCTGACAGGGCTTCTGTATCTTCACAGTGGAAGATAGATAACACTTTGCGCGGAAAGCGAGCGGAAAGAAGAACGACGTCATTCAGATGTTCGCACGGGTCTCTACAAATTAGTAATCCATATTCATTACTCGTGACCTCTTTATTAGTAAACATTGTAGGTAGCATGCTTCTCATCGAGACTGCGCTGGTGTGTATGTAAAGTCGAGTTCTAGACGGAGTAACTTTGCTTGAAAGGGACTAGAAAAGATAGCGAAAGACGTCCCTGGGGATTGAGGCTAAAATGCGCTTGGATAGGTCTAATAGAGCGGCCGCATAATTGAAGTACCGTTTCTAATGATGTCAGTAAATCGCAAACATCGCGACGGCTAATGGTCTTTCGCCACACGTATAAAATAAAACCTCCTTCGTAAGCTTAAAGTTCGAAGGGTGTCCGCAACTGTCGAGGAGTTCTGAGCCCCTGAGGCTTCCGTAAGAGTGTCCAAAAGTGCTGCTGTCTAAAAAACGACGAGGCAGCAATTTACAAAGTTGAATCGCTCCGGCGACGAACGTTGAAATCATTGGTCAATTCTTGGCCTCCACACCCTGTTGCGTACAGTGTACATGATCGCGTTTAAAGAAACGAAAATGCCTAGTTCATTCGGTAAGATGAGAAGAGACAAGTGTAACGACAGCTGCAGCTACAGCCCGCGGTTTCAGCGGCGGGAATTTTTGAAGTAGGCTGCGACAGTTTTTCATTCATCTGAACTCAAACACCCTTTGACTTCAACGCCTGAGCGCGAACGGACAGCCTATCGATCTCGATATCTTACGGGCTGCACTGGTTTATGCGATCATTCTACTGTGCAGACTAACAGATAGTATCAATGCTAGATGAATTAGCCGAGAAGGGTGGGTCCAGACATTCGAATCGAGAGCAATTGCGACCGAATCCCTGTCCTGCATTCCCATTTGAGACACTACCGCTGCGCGAGCATTTGTGATAACCATCCGTAAGAAAAACGCTATACGCGCACGAACCACAGGTCGCACATTGTTCCGAAATTGGTTTTCGTAACAACCGAGACGACATGATGCAATAGGCTCATGTGTGTCAAGCGACTGGATGATAAACTTGAACAATGTCGCGTTTCAAATTATGATGCTCTGGTGACCATAACGCGAAGTCAATACAGGTCGGAAATGCAACGTCTGTCACCCGTGTTAGAGTTAAATGAACCTGCGCTGAAGCGACATCAGGCTTACACGCACACCTGAAGTTTACCTCCAGCAGCAAACTTGGTCAGTGCACAAGACACCGTTATTCTAGCTGATGATTCGGTTACACCTGAGTAGGCATAGCTTGCAAAAGACGTTTTGTCGATTGTCTTAACTGCTGTCGAGGGACCAACCGACAAGGAAGTTCTAGTCAGAATGCAGCAGGATCATCAAACATTGACGCACTCAGTCTACGTTTACTCGTTACGCTTGCCAGGCATCGAAGATGGATAAGCCTTTCAATGTCTGAGCTATCCGGTGCTCCCGCAGACACTAGAGCTCACTTGTCAGCTCGACGCTCTGTCCGCAATCGAGAACACCATTATCGTTCTGCAGCAGGGACAAGCATGAAGATATCTGCGGCAACTCTGATCGGCATCGGCACATTTCTCCAGCATCTTCACCTTGTTCAAGTCGCAGGTCAAGACTTTGATGATAATGAATTTACAAGCTTTAGTGATAGCTCACATGTGGAGGCATCCACGTTTGCGCCTGCACTCAACAACATCACCTTAAATGTGACGAATGGTGGTGACGCAAATATGTTGGCATCATCAGACCTGTTACCTGTGGAGGTAGGTGATGGTACGCCCTCAGAGTTTCGCGCTTTAGACCCGCCTAGCCATCTCTTCGAGCGCACAAAAGCCATGATGGGACTGTGTCCGCCCAAGTACCTCGATCCATCAGTGATCAAGAAGCGTGCCATACCGACGAACAACTGGTGGGGCAACATCATCGCACACGACTCGAATGTGGTCATTCAACCCATTTGGTCTAATCCATACTCGCTACAGATGGTCGCTGACAAGGCACCTTTTGGTATGTCCGCGAGTTACCCGTATCGTAACCGCTTCAGTGGTGGCAGCTCCGGCAACAATGGTGCCGTCAAGTACTATGCACACGGCATGGTTCAAGAGTTTTTGTTTTCGGCTGAAGAGCTCACGGGGCGGAAGCCCAACTTCCAAGTTGTCGACTGGGCTGATCAAGGAGTGACCGTAAAGTTTACTGTCAGCTCCTCCGGTGGAAGCATGGTGTCGGACCTTGTTTCTGGCATGGTGTACGCCTCAATGAAGTACTCGGGTCTCACTCCACGATTGGTATCAGCAACAGCGATTTCTACCGTCAACGGCCGACCATTCGGTGGTCAAGTGCGTGGTTCCAAGTTCCAGATCGTCTATAACTCCGGCCAGAAGTGGGTAGTCTTCGCATTGGCAAGTGACGGTCGTACTGCGCAAGACATCACTCTGGCTGCCGATGACACATCCTCCCTCAAAAGTACAAGCGTATTCGACGGCATATTGCGCGTTGCTCTCGTGCTCGAAGATTCTTGGTTGAGCACGCTCGACCAGCACAAATCATGCATTGTACAAGCAGCGAACGTTGACATTCGTGACGACAGCTCCTATGCGTTCAAGTGGAAAACGATGGGAGATTGTTCCAGTGGTCTGTTGCACTTTGCAATGAAGCACCATGCCGAGACCCTGGTCACGAGCAGCGGGGTACGCCAAGTGGATGGCATGATAGCCCACTCAACAACTCGAGGTGCGCACCAGGCTTTCTTAACACCAGGTGGGCCCGGCGATCCCGTGTGGGAAATCAAGGAGATACAGCCGGTACCCGAAGACTTCTACCCGTCCCGTAAAATTGCATCGAGCGTCTCCCGGCTGCAGCACATCGTAGACCATTTACGCGAGGACATCAACAGCACATGGTCGATTCCGCTCAATGGCAGCTACTACTTCAACGGCAAAGCTGCGCAGAAGTATGCCTCCTTATGTCTCATCGCGAACGACGCAGCGGTCGTGGGCGAAGACAAGCGTCTATTGAATAAGTGCCTCGTGAAGCTGCGCCGTGTGATGGCACCTTTTGTAGCTAACAGTTGGGACAACAAGCTCCAGTACGATCAGGTCTACGGTGGCATCGTGAGTTCCCAGAGCTTCAACACCAAGGACCTGAACTCGGACTTCGGTAACACCATGTACAACGACCATCACTTCCATTACGGCTACTGGATACACACGGCGGCCATCATCAACCGCCTCGATCCGACATGGAGTGACCTCAGTAAGCTCAACAACAGGATTGACCTCCTTGTACGTGACGTCGCCAACTTCGACCAGGACGACAAGTTCTTCGCACGGTTCCGCTCGTTCGACTGGTTCCGCGGCCACTCGTACTCACACGGCGTCACTCCGTTTGCCGATGGAAAAGACCAGGAGAGCACGTCGGAGGACGTCAACTTCGCCTTCGGCATGTACATGTACGGCAAGGCCACGAAGAACGCGGCCATGGAGGCCGTCGGCAAGCTCATGACGCGCGTCAACGCGCACGCCATCAAGACTTATTTTCTTATCGAGGACGCCAAACAAGTCCACCCGGCGAACTTCCGCCCCAACAAGGTCACGGGCATCTTCTTCGATAACAAGGTGGATTATGCGACATGGTTTAGCGTCGAAAAGTACTGCATCCACGGCATCCAGATGATCCCCGTGTCGGCTGTGACCGAGTTCGTGCGCACCAAACAGTTTGTAAAAGAGGAGTGGGAGCAGGTGCTGGGCAAGGAGGCCATTGTTACGCGCGAGGATACGGCCAACCCATGGCTCTCGCTACTGTACACAAACTTTGCAATGGTGGATAAACAGCGCGCAATGCGCGTGTTGCAAACAGCCGAGATGGATGACGGTCTGTCTCGTTCCTGGGCACTCTACATGGCTGCCAGCTTCGCATAGTAATGGTTGTTCACTGCTGTCGTAGGGCATAGTACATCCGTCATACACGATTGTCATAGAGCATATGTAGTGTCCCGTTCGTTGATCTAGTTTTGTCGCTTGCTTACATCTTCATCCAATATACTTGTGGTCATCACAACTTGGGGACGTCATCAACCTCCTGACGTCTCAACACAGTACGTGATCTGTGGCCCGAGTGGCATGTGAAAACACACTTACACAGTAGCTTCCGCTCAATTGTCGTGATCTTAGTAGGTGATGACATCCTCTCCACCACCTTGTGTGAGGAAGGTCAAGATTTTGACGGGGTCAGATTAGCGTGGACTCCCCAAGTCATACTCGAGCTGAGTTATCACCTTCAGTAGCATCAAGTGCTTTCAAGCACATTCTTCCGTGTAGACAACATCACAGCCTCTTTGGCCATCAGTAGTTATTTACACCGGCTTGCTGCTGCACGTCCTTACAAGGCCGATCGTGTCTCGCGCAGGAGTGTAGACGCGATCAATGTCCCCGTCGAGTCTTTTTGTATACAATTATGGTGCTGAGGTGTAGAAGCGAGAAAGTACGAAGTCGTGAAAACAGGTATGCTTCAGACAGCTGGACGAAAAGTGATTATTGAAGTCTTGACGAATAAATATCTACGTACTTCTACTGCAGATATGTCCTCACTGTGGACGTTCGCAGTAGTCTTGGACTTGGTTGATGTCCCTAGATCGACTCCTCCACGCCTAGCTCCACAAATGTGTGTATCATCGGTCAGGCACATCAATCTGGACATGAACACAAATCTTATCGTCGACCACGATGAATATGAGCTGACGAGTTCGTTGTCATCTCCAACATTTCGATTGTGCAGTCAGTATGCGTGGTATGTTTGGTGGACGATGTGGCCGGTCGCAACATTGATTTCTTACATGAATCATCACACGTAGCTTAGTCTGTGAGGCCTAAACCTGCTCGCTTGACCGCTATTTGTCGTTTTCGAGAAGATCCGCGGCATCCAAGTCAGTTGACCTTTTTCAATGTTTTCCACACGGTAAGACTGCTTGGGCAGCGAGTAAGTAACAGGTTCCACATATCTAAAGGGCAGTTAAAATAGGACGATTCGAGCACTCTTCAATCACACATGCATGACCTTTTCGTACTTCCTGATCGGTTGGCGGATTTCCGCATGCGTGTTCGTCAAAGGGAACGATAATCGATTGCAGGGGTGTAGTGCTACAACAATGATACTAGGACTAGGTGATGTTTATATCGACATCCGTGGGGGAAGTCGATTACAGGTCGCCAGAGATCGACTACATCAAGAGACGAGCAGACGTCCAAAGGGTGGCTGCCCTACCGATCCGCGGCTCAATCTGTGCGTTGGGTGAATGGGCTGGACCTCCTTCTAGCCGAAAATCGCCACAGTGTGACAGGGGTGGGGGCCCACGCAGGCTATTGAGAAAGGAGCTTGTAAAGGTGTCACGTAAACTGAATTTTTACTTCCCCTTGCATAATGTCAGGCTCAGTTTTGCGCCTTGCCATTTGTCGATGTTCTATTAAAGTCAGCAAGATCCACAGCCCTAACAGTGCATCTACCATGAGAGTTGAAGCTTATAAAAGCAGCCTTTAATACGACAGGTGCTCCGTGAATGAGGACGCAATCTTATGTTGTCACGGTACGTATGCTATTACAGAAAAAAGTAGTGAAGGTGCATCAAGGAGCATCTAATCACATGTGCATTTCAAAGTAGTCCTCCCCCCCCCACAAGGTATATATAGCCTTGGTGGAGGCTAGATTCTATAACTTATCAGGGGTTATTTTTTTGGGGAATAATCAATTAATTAACGATCAAAAAAGCTGACCATTTATTATTTTATTACTTATCAATACAGTACAATATGTGCATAACTATTAGTATTCGTATCACGATTGTTATGTATTGATCAAAACAGCGGACCACAGAACTTTTTCTTCACCATTCTGGTTGGGGACGCGTCTGGGCACCGCCAATGGAAATTATGGAGTCTATGTGCGTACAATGCATTTTCTTTGTGAGTGCATCGAATTTAACTTGAACACATACAATTAATTGTATCACACTCAACCGAGTCATTGAATTAACACAGTTACAGTACCTTCGTACACAGTTAAAGTATTGTACCTTGTTTACATTTTGTGCGCGATTGCGCAACCTTTTGCAACTCGCCTGGCGGGCTGGCCACCGGGGGTCGGGGTATAAAAGGCACCCTTTATCTCCCCCGACCAAACAAACATCCCTATATTCCTACATCCACACCTCACCTTTCCTTTCGCTTTCCCTCTCTCGCTAGCTGTCCACTTCCATTCCTCCCCAAACCAACAACTTCCCTCAAAGTCCAGAACCCCACACCTACCCACCGTCCCACCCACTTACCCACCCACACATCAGAGATGTCTCAACTACGTCTCACCAACGACCAGAAGCTGAGGATCATCTAACATAAGGATAATCATTCGAGCCTCACCCAGACGGAGCTTGGAAACTGGACGAAGGAGGCATTCGGCCTCCCCAAACCCATGACGCAGGCCTCAATCCGCAAGATCATCAGCAAGAGGAAGGAGCTTTAAGCAATGAGTCCATCAGAGCTCTCTGCTAATCGTTCCCGCTCAGTTCAACATCCTGCCTTGGAAGAAGCAGTGGCCCTCTGGATGTTGCAGTGCCAGCATCGTGGAGTTGCCCTCACCGGAGACGTGATCCGTGCCAAAGCTTTGCAACGTCCATGGATATTCTGGAGGGATCAATCAAGTTTGCCCATGGGTGTCTCTACAAATTCTAGCAGCGCCACAAGCTAAGGGCCGTCCGTATCCATGGCGAGAGCGGTTCAGCCGATGTGGCTGGACTTGAAGCAGCTCTACCAGAATTGCAAGCATCCGTCGCCAAGTTTGCTCCCGGTGATGTGTGCAACATGGACGAAATTGGTAAGTTCTCCTGAAGTCTTTTATGCTCTGTGTCATAAATGCCAAGATTATTTCCAGTATTATTTTTACAGCATGACACCGGATAAAACCATTGCCCAGAAGGAGGTTGAAGGCTTCAAAAAAGACAAGGTGAGTTGCATTTGGCTTGTTGGAATCCGTGGGATCAATGGAATAATTGACATGTTTGTCAGACTCGCACCACAGTGGTTCTGACGGCAAATGCTGATGGATCTGATAAGCTCCCTCCATCATCATCGGCCGTTCAAAGAAGCCTCGTTGCTTCCAACGGAAGTCAGGAGAAGAGCTCGGGGTTTTTTATCGCTACAACAAGAAAGACTGGATGACTGGGGTCTTTTTCCAGGAATGGCTTGGAAACCTGGACAGAGACATGAAGGTAATTGAACATTTGCCATTTCTGAGAAATTAGCTGCAAAACAAAGCACTTACCCAGATTCTAGCGCCAAGATGAATCCTTCTGCTTATGGACAATGCACCTTCGCACGTAAATTTGGATCTTGTGCTCACCAACGTCACCGTTCAGGATCTGCCGCCCGATACCACATCGAAGGTGCAGCCAATGGACGCCGGTATCATTGCTGCATTCAAGCGCCACGACCGGCGTCTGCACCTACAGAACGCTTTGGATCGAGATAGAGCGGGAGCGGCAGATCTCTACAAAGTTGATTAAGTCACAGCCATGCGTTGGTCACTTATGGCGTGGATCGAGATTTCGACCACCATTATTGCAAATTGCTTCAAGTACACTAGACTCATGAATGGGCAGACTTCACCAGCAGTTGAAGGAGGCGCTTCAGCAAGGGACATCCAGCAGCCTGTGAAACAGGATGCAGGTCTGGTTGACCAGGAGGAGCAGGAAGTGGAGAAGGATCTGGAGTCAGCTCTGCAACGCCTGCCTTTGCGCAATCCGATGTCTATTGCGTCACTGCTCAGTTCAGTTGATGAAGAGCCGACGGTGCATGCGGAGTTAAGCGACGCCGAGATCATCAAGATCGTCCAGGATGCTGAGGAGGAGGAGAAAGGGGAAGCTGAGGAGGAGGTGGTGACACATTCCATGGCTGAGAAGCTCGCTGCTCTTGCTTTGTTCATTTCCCTCCTTGATCTCTCCCAGGATCGAGACCGCGCCGCCCACCGCGCTGTTCGTCGCATTCAAGCCCAACTTCGTAGTGCTAATACAATCCAAACCACACTGGATTCATGGCTTAAATAGGCTCCAGGATGCTCCAATTAATATATATCTACAGTACTCCTGACAAAAAAATTGCTCCCCCTGATAAGTTATATTGGGCCTGGGCGGGTATTCCATATTCCGTATTCCATAGTCGCCATAGAACGGCGTCGGTGGACCCGAAATCGCATAGCTTAGCAGAGGTTATACCATAGGGGGGATAACTTTTGGGGGAGGACTGTAAACGGGTAGCAGTAAAAATGAGAGGATGCTGTACTATGTGACTGTGTGTGCCAGGTTAAAGGGGTTTCATATCCGGGACGTACGTAGACCCCCTCCGTTAGTTCTCAAATGTACAGCAAAACTGATGGTCGCCATCTCCAACAAACAGAAGAATGTCAGTAAGTTGCTCGTCGCACCGGTGTTAGTAGAACCCCCTACCGCAAGACAACGGCACGAACCAAAAGATATTGTTTATGAGACGTTTCTTTTCTTTGCGACAAATGACTGAGGTGTGAGCGGTCTCTCTCTCATCGGTTGCTCAGACAGAAGTAATTTCATCGAGCCAAGTTTTTGATGATACTTTTTATTTTATTGGCATGCAACTAGATATAGCGGCTGCTACCACGAGCTTCATGTTGTTACTTATCCAGAACCACGCTGATGTGCGACGCAACATATTTGTCATAAGACTACACCTATCGGCATACGGAGTATGTAACGGGGTGAATCGTTACATAACAATTTATAAGAAATTGTTAATAGAATATAACTATAAGAGTTATATTCTCAGAATATTGTCATAAGGACAATATTCTGTAGCACTTCCAAGTAGTTCCTAATTGGTTGATATAGGCCATTATATCAACC